AGCCCTTCTACCCTAAGCCAGCAATCCATACATTTCCCTCATAGCCTTCTGCCTTGCTCAGGTAATCTCCATGTCTCCCCTGCCAAGAATGGCTAGTGTGCAGGTCTCTGCTTCCAGTCAGCCCAGAATAAATCCATCCACCCGTGCCCCTCAGCTCAGAGCTGGCTGCTGGGCTCTCACATAGGCAACCAGGTCCAGCTGTACTCCTGAAGAGCCTATGATAGCATTGGCACAAAAGCTTCCTTTCCCACAGCAAAGGAAGAAAAAAGCCTACCTCTCTCTGGGGCAGGGCTGGGACCAGGGAGCACTGGGGACAGCCTGGTTAGGAAGAACAGCCCCTATAGCTAATCCCTAAAATCCCAATGGGGACAGATCACATCTCTTAAGGTCACCTTCCCCCAGCAAGCAGAGTGGATGGGATCCAGGTAAGTGAAATAATTTATATATAATTATAAGACATTTTCATACAAAACCCCAGACTCAGCCCCCGACTTGTGAGGGCAAAGTAGGGCAGGCTGAAAAATTACAAAGCACGCACTGGAGAAGGGTGGTGAAACCCATCTCCCCTGTCCCGCTGTACACGAGCTGCCTAGCAGAGCCAGGCCACCACCCTCAGCACTGACCCTAGCGATCAGGGCGCTGCACGCAGAAAACTTTGGCTTGGTGGTCGCCGGAGGTCGTCACCACAATGGAGGCATCCCTGGAGAGGGGAGAGAAGGCTCAGCAGTGGGGCTGGGGGCTTTGGACAGCCGCAGCTGTGACCACCTCTCTATTCCCTGAGACCCTTCAATCTTACCATCCACGCTTCCAGATGATGCACCCCAAGGCTCAGGGGTTCCCTCACCCCAGCAGCCTCAGGGAAGGACTGGGCTGGGAGGGGTCCCTACTCACTTGTTGACAGTGAAGTCGAGGATTTCAGCAGAGTGCCCTCGGTACTCGCTGATCATCTTCCCTGAGCGGGCATCCCAGAGCCGCACAGCCCCATCCAGGCTGCAGGTGTACACCACAGCAGAGTTCTCCTCCCACAGCAACTGCACAATTCCTGACTGGAGTACAGGGGGGGAAGCAGAGTGAGTACAAGGAATAACAGTCAGTAAGTCGCAGCACATCATGAGCCTCCACTCTCCCCTTTCCCCCCCAGTGCTCTCCACCATTCCCCATAGCACAGGGACAGCCCTCGTGACCAAGATGTGGCAAATCCTCTGTGTGGGACCAGAGCTACCACTAGAGAAGCCCACAGCAGAGAGAAGCACGAATCGGGAACTAACCCCAGGAAAGCCCCCCAAGCTCTAAGAGAGCTTCCAGAGGTGTCAGCTGGACCCAGAAATGCCCTCAGGCTTAAAGAATAGGTGCAGGGCACTACCTCGTGTTGGCATTTATGCCTCAAGCTCTGTGTGGAGAGATCGTAGATAGCCAGTGTACCATCCAAGTAGCCCACTGCAGCCAGCGGCATCCTGCAGAGAGAGGAACAAGTTTTATGAGGACCTGGAGCAAGGAGGGAATTAAGTGTGTGAAGGATCAGGATTGAAGAAGCACTGAAATGAAGAGGGACAACCCAATGGTCAGAGCTGGAACCGCAGAACACCCCATAAGGAAAATACTAAGACATCAGGAGCCAGCAAGCAGCACAAAGTTCCCAAGGGAGAAAACATACTGGGAAGAAAGGTCCCCCATAGCTGTGTCTGCAGAACACCCTGTCCCAATGCCCCACTCACACGTTACAGAAGCCCAGCGATTCCACTGAATTGGACTCTGCCTCCTCGCCTTCACTTGCAGTGGCCTTGGGAGCCACGCTCTCCATCTTGAACACGCACACCACCTGGGGGAGGAACGCCATGAGTCCTTACGCCCCAATCCTCTCAGTTGCAGAGAAATGGTGGTAGTGGTGGCCAAGCACGCCTCCTGCTGGCCCCGGGTGGCCATCACAGGCTGCTTTTGGCTGGCAAAGCCCAGCACCATCCCGCCCTGTATAGATCATTCATGTCCACTACTGCGCCCCACAGGTGGGCACAGACTCACCTTGCCCGTGGCAGAATTGACCAGCTTGGCATGGCAGTCCACTGAGCCTGTCAGGATGAAACTGCCATCCTGGTTACTGGCCACACATGTCAAGGGGTCCTGGTGGCCATCCTGGCCTGTGGAGATAAGTAGGAAGCATGAGCTACACCCATCTTTACCAAACTCCACACACCTCGAAGCCCAGCACATCTTCCTCTGCAGTCTCTGCATTGCACCCATCCCATGATGGCAGCCCCATGGCAAGGGACAGCTGCCACGAGGACAGCCCACCCAGCACCAGACAGCCTTCAGTGTCTCTGTGTGTGCTGCCTCTTCACAAAGACAGAGCTCAAAGTTCACTGCATGGGGGATGCACCCCAGGTGAAAAACCCCTTTCCCACCTTTCAGGACGTGCAGTGAGGTTCCCTGCTTCAGATCCCAGATGCGCATGGTCCCATCCTCGTATCCCACTACAGCTCGTTTCCCTGGGTAAGACAGAAATAAGAGATAGAGGCAGAGCTTCCCACACCCTTTGCCTCTTCCCTAGCACAGGAGCACCCTGTGTCTCACCGTCAGGCAAGATCTTGCCACACGTGGCAGGGCATGCAGGGCCCTGGAAGGTTTTGCAGTCTCCACTGGGGATCTTCCACATCCAGGAATTGCCATCAGCTGTGCCTGCTAGAAGGACATGGGCCTGAGGGTGCCACTCCATCCACTGTGCAAAGAAGGGGACAGGCACTGTCACAGGGTTGTGTCCTCTCAGAAGGGAGAAGAACCAGAGCTGGGTCCCACTACCAGCCCCCATGTTTCCACCAGGAGCAGGGCTTCAGCCACTCACCTCCAGGTCCCCCACTTCAAAGGACCACACTTCTTCCTTGGTGTCCACCCGCCACACTTTGATAAGGCCAGACATGTCACCCGTGGCCACAAACACAGAGTCATGACTGAAGCCGGCACAGGTGACTGAGTCCTTGTGTCCTAGAGATGGCAAGGAGCAGAGACCATTCTGTTAACAAATGCCAGCTACTGAAAACAATCAAGAGCCCAGCTCCACAGGAGCATCAGCTGGGGAGGAGCAAATGCAGACAGGAAGGGTTGCAGGACCCATTTCAGCGGGGATACCTGGCCCGAGTCTCTCACCTGAGCACTCGAACAGGAGCTCTCCATCACTCAGGCGCCACACGAAAGCTTTATCATCTTCCCCACCCGTCACCGCCATTGTGTTGGTCTTTGGGTCGAGGCTCACACAGAACACTGAGGCTGCAGAGCAGGGAGACGCTCACTCCTCAGTGAATATTGCCCAGACGCAAACCCCCACAGCACAACGGCTATCAGAGACCCCTAGAACCCACTTGGTAGAACCAGAAGGACACAGCACAGCTTCCCCCCAGGGAAACCCCATGGCTTACCTGAGTGCATTGAGAATGTGACCTCACTGTCATCCTGTGCTTCCATGCTGTCCTCCAACCCCTCATCGTCCTCCGTTTCCCAGGCCTCACCGTCGGGCTCTTCTGCTCCCTCGTCCTCGAAGTCCACGTCCTCCATCTCTGCGGCCAGGTCATCTGCAGGGAGCGAATGTCAACCCCTGCCCACCTCAGCCCCCACGGGCCCAGGGGCGGCCCAGCGCGAAGGGGTCCCGGCCCCGCGGGCAGAGGAGGCCCCAGCGGGGAGGGCTGAGGGTCCCTGGGTACCGGGGAGGCCCTGGGGTGGGGACGCGACGCGAGGCCTGCCCGCAGGAACCGGGCCTTGGGGCGGGGCGGCCCGGTGCCCCGGGAGGAGGCGGGACCCGTCTCACCCGGCCCGGGCGGGCCCAGCTCCACCACCTCGATGATCTCCTCGTCTCCATGGAAGTCCAATGCACCAGGCCCTTCCGCGGGCTCCATGCCGACCTGCCCGCGCACCCCACCCCGCTGCCACAGCTACTACTTCCGCCGTTCAGCCCCGCCTCGGCCATTCCTCGCCCACCGCTCTCCGCTTCTAGCCAATCCGAGCCCGCATCTTCACCTTCGCCCCCGCCCCTTCCTCCAGCACGACAAGAGGTTTCCGGCCCCGCGCAGCGCACTCTGGGAAATGCAGTTTTTTATTCCTCCCCTGCAGCGCCATCCGCCGGCCGCTCCAGCACGGCGGACCGCACCTCCCGGCATGCAGCGGGGCCGCGGGAGTCCAGCACGGTCCAGCATGGCGGCGGCCCTCGGCGGACTGCGCGGTAAAGACGGGCAACGGGCGGGCGGCGGGCCGGGTGTACCACGCCGTGACTCTCCGCGGCTTACAGTGTCCAGGGCGGCCCCCGGTGCCGCAGGGTCTCAGCCACACTCGGCGCGCGAGAGTAGCAGCAGAACCCACGCCCTTCCTTGGCTAAGCCACGCCCCCTTCTGCTTGCCCCGCCCATCTGTTGGTCACGCCCGCCCAGCCGGGGCAGGGGTGCGGGTCGGGCAGGGGTCGGGGCAGCAGGGGCGGTGTGTTTCCTCCCCGTGCCACACCTTCCTGAGCCCTCTCTCCTTACAGGGCTCCTGGCAGTGGCCGGGCGGGGGGCTCAGGGACGACAGAGCTGCCACCGACCTGCGGGGCCACCCGCGCCACCGAGGTCACCAGAGCCAGCGGGGCAGCTCTCCGAGGGGGTGGAGTACATCCCCACGCGGAAGAAGGGCAAGAACCCCATGAAGCCGGTGGGGGTGGCCTGGTGAGTGCGGAGGCACGTGGTTGGGTGTGGGAGGCTCAGCACCAGGGGGCACGTGGTGACACGGCTCTGTCCCCTACTTGTCCCCAGGGCCATCGGTTTGCCCTGCGGCATCATCCTCTTCCTCCTGGTGAAGAGAGAGGTGAACCGCCTGGAGCAGCTCCATATCCGCCGCAAGATGCTGGGAGCCAATGTGGGCGACTACGAGACGGAGCGGTACCGCCGGGGTGCATAGCTGGGACCCAGCCAGCACCACAGGACTGACCCAGGGACACCTCCACCCACACTCAGTACAGGACCCTGCCTGAATCAAACTGGGGCCATCTGGAAAATTAAAGTGTTTTATTGAGCATGTGTAACAATTGAGCGTGGCCCAAGGCCAGGCCTGCAGAGAGACCAATGGGGCCTGAGGCCTACCAGGCCCAGCTGTGCCCAGGGCAAAGGCCAACGCTGCATTTAAGGCACTGAATGGAGCCCGGGCCCCAGGCAGAGCCCAGCACTGTCCCATTGGCTGCTGGCAATCCCCCTGGGCCAGAGAGCCTCAGGGCCCAAGTGTGGGACACAGGGAACCCTTCTCCTCCAGCAGGCCACAATCAAGGGGTGCTGAAGCACCGAGGACACCAGGCAGAACTGTACACAGGTACCAGCTTCAAAGCCTATTTACAAGCGAGCAGAGCACCCCTCCATGCTGGGAGCACCTCTGGCCGTCCCACCCATGGGGACAACCCCAGTGTCATCCCTGGTCCCGGTGCCTTGGAGCTCTGGGGCAGTGAGTGGCCTCATGGGGACAACTGGATGGCAGAGGGGCTGCAGCCGTGGTAGTCAGCAGTATCCCAACTGGGGATACCAGGAGCCTGGCTGGTGACTGGGGGGCTGGGAGAAGAGTAGCTTGGCCAATGGAGGAAAGAGAAAGAAGCATTTTGAGGTGGGGGTAAGGGGTCCCAAGCAGGGGCTCAATCTCGGCCCACAATCTGCAGGAGGAAAGTGAAGATGTAGACAATGTCAGTGTAGATGGTGAGGGCTCCATAGATGTACTCCTCAGGGCTCAGCGTGTTCTTCCTGTTGCCCAGCACCAGCTGCGTGTCATAGGCCAGGAACTGGGGGCAGAGACATGGGGGGGGGTCAGGTGGAGGAGCCCTGCATCCCCCCAGGGGCTCCTCAGCATGGGGCAAGGAAGGGGAGCACCAACTCACCAGGGTGAAAGCAATAGCCCCGATGGCTGCATACAGCATGTGGAGCCAGGGCACCTGCATGGGGAGGGAACATGGGGACATGAGCCGTTCCACCCTCTGTCTTCAGAGGAAGGCAGCCCCCAGCAGCCCCCTACTCACATATTTGAAGGAGAGAACGATGACTGTGACGATCCCTGTTACCATGACCACGATGCCCAACACACAGAAGAGCCCCGGACATGACGTAAAGTCAACCTGGGGGAGGGGGGGTAGGAAGTGTCACAGGAGGGCACTCCCATGTCCCCATCCCCACCCCAGAGCACACCCCCTCCTCACCTTGGTCTGGAAGCAGAAAATGGTGACAATGATGGCCACAATGGCGGTGATGAGCATGGCGATGAGGACAGCATTAGTCCGGTACGTGCTGAGGGCAGAGTAGACAGCAATGTCACCACAGGCATGGCAAGGGACAAGGACTCCAACCCTCCCAGAGCCCCACTGGGTACCTGGCAATGGTCCCTGTCATGAAGCCCATGGCCAAGGTCTGCAGAACAGAAGGCCTGAGTCAGTGATGGCAAAGCAGGGGCAGATTGATTGCCAGCCCCACAAGCCTCTTCAGCAGGGACCGTCCCTTCTGTGGGACATGTCTGTGCTGTCACCCCCCAGCCCCGAACCCATGGCCCCCTACTCACAAAGATGCTCAGCAGAATGATGTTCCACGGGAAGCGTCTCCTGGGGATGAGAGAGTTGAAGAGCAGTGAGATGGTATTAGTGTCCGTGTCCTCATGTTGCCAAGCCCTGTCTCACCTTCCACAGGGACTACCCCAGGTGGGGTCCCTGGATTTGGGTGGCACTGTACCTGTGCAGTGTCCCCATCCCTCAAAGCCCAGGGGACCCCCAGATAGCCGTGTCCCCTCCCATTGTCCCTAGCACTCACCGGGGGCCCTGGCAGCAGACCAGCACCAGGTAGGTCACCAGGAAGACAGCACTGCAGAGAGACAGAAAGCTCAGCCCAAGGGACCCGGTTGTATTGGGCGGACTGACATTCACCCAGAGGGTGACAGGGACCCCCCATACTCACTATGAGGAGTAGTAGATGGCAGCATTCCTCTGGACAAAGGAGCGGACAGGTGAGCTGTGGGGTGGCAGGGATAGGCATGAGGTTGGCACGTGCTCCCCCAGTGTTCCCCCACACCCAGCACCAAAATGCTCCCCCCTGACGCTGGGGTGAGCCCCCCCATCACCACCTCACTCACACAAAGGTGAACATCGCGATGATCCCCACTGTCACCAGCAGCTGCACGGAGATGATGGCATAGACCTGTGGGAGGTGGCAGCAGGCAGTCAGCACTCAGCCTGCTGCCACCAACCCATGCCCCCAACCCCCCAAGGGATGCCCCAGACTCACCTTGCGGATAAAGGTGTGCCGTACTTTTCTGTCATCCCAGTCAGCCGACTGGATGGGGGAGCTGCCTCCCATACCCTCACCTCCATAGTTATCACCTGCCAGGGAAGGTCACCGCAGCTCATCCCATGTGACAGCACACCAGAGGACACCCTCCCCAGAACAGAGTGGGAGCCCCCAGAACCCATGCTCCCACCCCAAAACAAAGCTCCCCAGCTTACCAAAGCGCATGGGCATGGTGGGCATAGCCATCCCTGGCTGTGGGTACCCTCCTGGTGTCCCATACCCCCCTGGAGCTGCATAGCCCGCAGGTGTAGGATACCCCCCTGGCTGTGGGTACCCTCCAGCATAGTGGGAGGGCTGGGGGTAGGCACTGGGGGGATAGAGGGGGTTCTTGTCGTCGTACGGGGGGGGTGCGCTGGGCTGCGCCATGCCAGCTGCGAGCTGTCCTGCTGGGCACCTGGAGGGGAGAACAGAGGATGTCACCTGGCCCGTATCCCCTGATGATGAGGAACACATGGGACGCAGGGGACAGTCATCATGACGTGCCCTGCATCGAGAGCAGGAGAAACACCGCTCTTTAATAGTGACCTCTCCTTAATGAGGGCCGGGAAGCACGGTGACCAGGTCACTTAAAGCCCAGGGCCACCTACATTCCCATGTTCTGAGTCCCTGGTGTGATGTCAGGCAGTGGCTGCGGGCAGGGCACGGCCACGCGGTGACTCAAGGTGTGCTGGGGACCTGACCTTTGCAGCTGGCCCTGCCATCACTGGGGTCAGCAACCCGGGTGTCCCCCTAGTCACCATGCAATGGGCAGAAATTCTGTTTTGCTCCCCACAAACACTGCTGAGGCTCAGAGTTGGACACGGGGCTGTGGATCAGCACATACCACCGCAGTGCTGGGACCAGGGACAGTGCCAACCCCCATCAGGCACGACTGCAGAGGTGGGGAGACTGGGACCCTGCACTGAGCTCCCCTTGCAGATCCCCCAGCAGCCGCCAAGCAGCTGTGCTGGGAGCAGGGCCAGCACTGGGCTGACTCCCCCAGAGCAGGAGGCAGAGAAGGAGGAGAAAGGCAGGAACACCAAGGCCAGGAAAACAATGGCGCTGCCAGGAGCTGTTGCCAGGCCCCTGCCCCACACCCGTGGCGCTGGCAGGGAACCCCCCAGCCCTCATCCTCTGCCCCCCCCACAGCACCAGCAGTGACGTGAGCAGGACTTAGCCCCAAGGGAACTGGGTGGGACTGGGAGCTTCCTGCAGCATTGTGCCAGTGCTGTGCTGGGTGGGATGGGATGGGGGGGCACACAGGGGGAATGCTCAATGTCCGTTCGTCCATCCATCCCAGCGGGGGTGGTTGCCTGCCCCACAGCCATGCCGTCATGTTTCCCATCATGGTGACGGTAGTGCCGAAAATAACCCATCCACGTGGTCTCCAAAGTTTCGCTTTCAACACTCCTCAGTTTCTCCTAAACCACTCAGTGCCTGCTGGCACCCCTTGCTCACCCACCCTGCACCCAGCAGCCCCCACTACTTCAGTGTGGCCATGAGACTGAGCCCAAGTGAATGCCTCCAACTGGAGCAATGCCCAGGCACAGCCTCAGCAGAGACAAGAAACCAGCCCAACGGGTCCCAGCCGCACCCAGCAGCACTAAACCCCCCCCTCCCCCCCCCCCCCCAGAACCCCCAGAACCCTGCCCCATGGGATGTACGCACCTCACGGGGTCACTTCCCCGTGGCACTTATGGCAGAATCTATCTCTGGGCACAGAACCCCAACGCATGATCCATTTCCTCTTTCAGAACAGGGCATCGAAACCTATGGTCACCAGCCAGGCCACCCCAGCTAGCTCAGTGACCCTGTGGCCACCACCCGGTCCCCACAGCTCTGCCTGGTACCGTGACTCAGCACTGATAAGTGGCAGGCAGCCAGGGGGGGACCTCAACACAATGGAGACGGGGTGCTCCACACAGCACCTAGCAGGGCAGGATACCAGCACTCCCCACTTTCTCTGGTGCTTTCCCAGAGTGGATCAGTCGTGGAAGGGCTCTGCCTTCCTAGAAGAACTTGGAAAATTACAGCAGTTTGGCACAGCCTGGTACAGCACAGTACAGCATGGCACAGCTCGGTACAGCACAGCACGGATGCCCCTATGCCTCCAGGCTTGCTGCCTAGCTCAGCTCACCCATGGCACGAGTTTGCAGGGTCTCAGCCCCGCAGCCCTATCCCAGGAACATCCCAGGAACATCCCAGGGGTGCCAAGTGTGTATGCCAGCTGTCACCTCCTGTCCCCAATCCGCTGCAAACCAGGTGTCCCTATGCAGAGAGCCGGCTTCATGCCCTACAGTGCCTACCCCATACCACCCCATATCCTTGTCCAGCACCAGGCTTTTCATGGAACACCCCTCCCAATAGCAGGGTATCACAGCACAGTCCCCCAGGGAACCCCCTCCCACCGCTGTCCCTGTGCCAAGCAGACTGGGACTTTGCCCCCGTTCGGCTGAAGCCACAGGTTGCCTCGCAACGCACTGGCAGGCCCTTCCCACCCAGCGATGGGGACACCATGGCTGGGGTGGGACACAGGCACAGAACCCCTGAACAGAGCACTGGGGACAAGGATTGGGGAAACACAGGGATGCTCCCCCCAGCCCAACCCCCCACCCCATCCAAACAGATTCCCAGCCATTCCGGGAAGCTCAGAGGAAGGCGGTGGATGAGGGCCAAGGGCCACACGTCGCAGCAATCAATCCCACGGAACCACGGCGTGTCACCGCGGCTCGGGGACAGCACCTCCAGTCCCTAGACGGGTCCTCTCCAGTCCGTGGGACACCCACCCACCTCCTAGGACACCGGGAAAGGCAGAAGGGGCATAGAGGTAGTGCTGGGGGGTTCCAAGGGCGAGAGGGGGGCAGGCGGGATGACGTCGGGGATTTGGAAGGCAAAGAGGGAGGGGAGGAAATAAGCATGAAGGGGGGGGGGCAGAAGGGGGGGGTCTGGGAAAGATCCGGGGGGTGGGAAGGGGGGTTTACCAGAGTGGGCTTGGGCTGGGGGGCATCGGCGGGGTGGGCAGACAGATAGGGGACCGGAAGTGGTTTGGGAGAGCTGGGAGACCCCGCCCGAGCTGGGGGACTCCCGAGGGGACCCGGGGGACTCCGTCTCTGCCCCTCCCGCTCCCCACGACCCCACTCATGCCACTACCTCGCGCAGGGACAGAGCTGGGGGTCGGGCCTCCCCTACCTGCTGCGCGCTGCTCCGCTGAGCTGGAACTCGGCCGGGGCGGGACGGGACAGGCCGGGACGGGGCGGCCGGGGCGGGTCCGGAGGGACGGACGGCAGCTGCCCCGCCTCGGGGCCGCCCCTCGGCGCCGCGCCCTCGTGCGGCGGCTTCTCCACACAGCAGTCGGTGCGGGTCCAGAGCGGTAGGATGACGATGCCGGACCGAGCGTCCCGCAGCCCCCACGGGGCAGTGGCTGCAGCGCGGGGACGCACCACCGTGCCGCAGTCCGGCCGGGCTCTGCGGGGCAGCGCGGGCCCCCCACGGGGGACCCCCACCGCGGCGCTGACGTCATTCGCGGGGGTCCCCCTTCCCCGCGACTGACGTCTAACAGGGGGAAACCCTCCGGCAGGGGGCGCGTGGGGTGGCGGGAACGGTGAGGGGGCGCGGCCCGAAGTCACGCCGCTCCCCTATTGGCTGTCGAGGGGGGCGGGGCCCCGCGGGGGCGGGCGAGGGGCATGGCGGGGCCGCGCTGTCGGGCGGCGGTGGCGGCTGGGGCCGCTTCGTGCGGGCTGGTGGTCGCCGCCTGGCTGGGCCGCTGTCCGGCTGTGCGCCGCGTCGCCCGCCGCGCCTCCGCCGCGCTCATGGCACTCGCCGGGCCGCTGCTTTTCCGCCTGGGGTGAGTGCCGGCGGGCCGTGGGGGTGGCCTCGCACAGAAGGGTCGGCTCTCCCGGCCGTCCGAGTGGGGATCCACGGGGCTCCCCCAACGGAAGGCTGCGGGCGGGAGCGCCGGAATCGCTGCCGTTTGGGGGAGCGCAAAGGTTGAAGGTGCGGGGCCGCCCCCGCTGCTCCCCTTTGTTCTGCCCTCGCTCCACCGTGCAGTGCCGGCCCGCGGGTGTCGGTCTCCACCCACCACCGTTTTTCCAGGCGCATCCCCCACCGTGCCCTTACGAGGATGAGCAGGTGCACGGTGTAGCGCCCTGGGTGATGCCCTGCGGATGAGAATGGGGTACAGATGTAGGTTCGAGCATCTCACGTCCTTCGTGGCATCTGTCCCCAGCCCTGAAATCCTCCTATATAAATAGAAAGGGTTCAAGCTATCCCAGCGCCTGTTGGTCTTACGTGGCATGTGAATGGGAGTGCTTCTCGCTTCCCTTTTCTGCAGCCCCTTCTGTTTTGCCCTCCTCGTTACCCAACAGTGCTGTGCGTTCCTCCCGATTCCAGAACCCAGTGTCCATTGCAGCTCTCAGCGTGGGATCGACCTCAGATCGGGGCTGTGCTCACGGCTGGGGATAGATGGTGGGACCAGGACTTTTGCAGAGGGTATACGGGGCTGTGAGGAAGAGATGTGTTTTAAATCCCCCCGTGGGGGCTCCCTGTGCCCCCCACAGGTACAGCCTGTACGCCCGCACACGCCTCGGCTTCCTCTTCTACAAGCGGCAGGTGAAGAAGGCCCGCGAGCGCTTCCCCCATGGCCATTCGGTGTCCCAACCACTGGGCTTCCGTGGTGAGTTCTGAGCTTCATCCCCATTTTGGGCAGGGGGCTTCAGCCTTGCTCCCATTGTACCCTGATGTCTGTCTGTCTGTCCGTGTGTCCTTTTCAGGGGTGAAAATCGTGCCCATCCCTGTGCTCTCCAATAACTACAGCTACCTGGTCATCGACACAGACTCTGGCCGTGCAGCCGTGGTCGACCCCTCTGACCCACTGGCTGTGCAGGTGGGATTTCCCCCCCCCCCCCCCCACTCCCAGTGCTGTACTGTGGTGTCCTGGGAGTGGGGAGCATATCTGCCCCTAATCTGTAACCTACAGTGCACAGGGCGGGGTGTCAGGGAGCAGGGAGCAGTGTTCCCCCCATACACGTGCTCCCAAATTTCTGTCCTGCCAGGCTGCCATTGAAGAGGAGGGGGTGGTGCTGGAGGCTATACTCTGTACACACAAACACTGGTAAGGGAGTACTGGGGGGTTGGAGAGTGATTAGAGGTGTTGGGGACGCTTGTTGGGGTGGGGATCCCAGAGCAAAGCCTGCTTCTGTGGGAGTGGGGCAGCTGGGGTTGGCAGGCTATGAGCCCCCTCAGCTCCAAGTGTTGCTGAGATGGTGTGCCCCCATACCTAACCTGTACTGGGGATGCACTGACCTGCTCACCTGCAGGGACCACAGCGGAGGGAACGCGGCGCTGCTCCAGCAGCACAGCTCCTGCAAGGTGTATGGCAGTGCTGTCGATGCCATCCCCGAGCTCACCCAGTAAGTGCCGCAGTCATCCTTCCATCTATTTGGGTCACCCTCCCCCCGTGCCAGCACCCTGGCATGCTATGAACCCTGTGGGGGCTGTTTTGGGAGTGCTGGGTATTTTGGGTATTTGTGACCGTGCTCCCCCCCTCCCTGCTGGCACAGCCCCATTGGGGACAGGGAGAAGCTGAGCGTGGGCCGCCTGACTTTTGAGGCACTGGCCACACCAGGCCACACCGTGGGGCACATGGCCTTTGTGCTGGATGCAGGGCCCTTCGGGGGCCCCCCCTGCCTGTTCTCCGGGGACCTGCTCTTCCTGGCTGGCTGCGGTGAGTGCAGCGATCCCATGTTGTCTAAATGTTGGGCACTGAAGTCCTGAAGGGCTGCAGGAGGGGACCCCCCAATTGAACCTCCCTCCCCCGGTGATGGTGGCTGTGTGTTTGGCCGCAGGAAGACTGTTTGAGGGCTCCCCCGAAACCATGCTGGCCTCCCTGGATGCAGCCATGGGCTTGGGAGAGGACACGCTGCTGTGGCCGGGTGAGCATCCCCTACCCTAAAGCCCCCAGATTGCCCCTTTCCATTGCTCTGGGGTGATGCTGAGGTGCTGCCCCCAGGCCACGAGTATGCACTGGAGTGCCTGAGCTTCGCCCGCCTGCTGGAGCTGGACAACCCCGCGCTGGAGCAGAAGCTGCTCTGGGCCACTCAGCAGCGGCAGGAGAAGAGGAGCACGGTGAGGACCTCCCCCTCCCACGGCCCTGTTTGTGTCTGTGGGGAGGACGATGTGGCTGAGCGCTGTCCTCCACCCCGCAGTGCCCCTCGACGTTGGGCGAGGAGCGGACCTACAACCCCTTCCTGCGCACGCACCGCCGGGAGCTGCACGAGGCGCTGGGGCTGCAGCGGGGCAGCGGGGAGCACCATGATGCCTTCCGAGCCCGCGTCCTGCGGGAGGTGCGCAGGAGGAAGGATCTCTACAAGGCCACCTAGTGACCCTCCCCACCTCGTGACCCCCCTCTGCACGTGGGGGGGGTCTTCTGGACTATGTGATTTTCTGCTGTGAATTCCCCTCCTCCTTAGTCCTGCTGGGAGATACAGGGAAAGGATGGACCCCCCCCCATACACACACCCCATGTGTGCACCTCATAGGTGGTCCCTTTCCCTGACCCCCTTTTCCACACGATCCCTTCTCTGGGGGTCTGCGGCCCCCCTGCCCCTTTTCTGGGGCTGTAGAAACAGCACTAAGGGCTCTCCTTATTTCCCTCCCCCTTGTTTTATGGGAGACCCCAATTTACCCCCAGTGCTCAGGGAATTCCCCTTCCCCCTCATTACTATGTCTCCCTTTGGGGGTGGAGGGGCAGGGAGGAAGCCTGGGTGCCCACCATTGCCCTGGGGCTCCTCCCATGTCCTTATCCACCCCCCATACACTGGGATGGGGGGCACAGTGCTGGGGGTGTGCAGGTAGTACTTCTGTACTGAGGACTGGAAACCCCTGTACACTCCCCCAAATAAAAGTCTAAATCGAATATTTTCCCACTCAACCACTTTTTTTCTGTGTCCGGGGGAGTACCCCTTTGCCCCCACCTCCCAAAAAAGCTATTCATTGCTGTGAGGTTGTGGCCACTTTAAGAGATGGGGTTGGGCCGTTCCTATGCCAACGGTTGCCAGCGTTGTAAGGGGAGGGGGGGGAAGCTCGGGTCAACGGGTACAGGTCTGAGGCTTGGGGGAGGAGGAGGGCAACCCGAGGGTTTGTGGGAAGGGGGAGTTTGGGGGGAGAAGACCCCGGACTTATATGGGGCAGGGAGTGAGAATTTGGGGAGGGGGCTGCTGCAATTTGAGAGGTGTCTGGGGGAACCACAGCACTTGGGGGGGGGGGGGAGGGAAGGAAAGGGGTGAAGGCTGTGTTCTTCCATGGGGTTCCGGGGGGGGGGGCACTGGGGGTGCTGCTCCGCAGCGCTGCCTGCTGCTCCTCTCCAGGGTGGAGACTGAGGGGGGGGGGAAGGCTCTCAGGAGGACCCCCTCAGCACTGCTGTCTCCCATCAGAAGACTCCATCCCCATGCAGGCAGCTGCTAAGTTCCTGAACTGCATTGGTGGGTGCCAGCCCCTCTCCCTGGGGTGCAGTGACCTCAAGGGGAGCAGCACCTTGGGGGCCGCTCAGTGACCATCCCTGCGCAGGGCCAGAGGAGCTGGAGCGCTGCCTGTTCGCTGAGACGCTGGCACAGGTGGCAGCGGGGGGACAGCTGCAGGGACATCTCTGGGTGACAGCCCGACATGCACCCTATGAGCAGGAGGGCCAGCGGGTGAGGAGCTGCCTCCTGCTCCAGGCCGGCTCCCAGGGGCTGCTGGATGGCGTGCCATATTCCTGCAGGCTCATGGGTGAGCTGGGAGCACTGGAGTGGGATGTCACCATCCCACTGGGTGGGATGGTATCTTGGGGGCAGTGGTGTCCCTGTCCCGGGGTGCACAGAGCTCTGCTCCCACAGGGTATGTGTCTATGCAGCTGGAGACTCTGGAGCAGGAGCAGCATGAGCGCTTGGAGGTAAGCAGGCAGCCGTGGTGGTGGCATGTCCCCTTAGTCCCTCTGTTCTGAAGCGGTGCCCCTGCCTATGCACCTGAGCCATCCCTCCAGGCTAGTCCCCTGCCCTGGGTGGCAGTGGGGATGGGGATTTTCCCACAGTGAACCTGTTTATGGCATCCTGGTGTCCCTCTCCCCCTGCACCAACTGAGAGGGATGTTGGGTGGCTCTGTTCCCCCCACAGTTTGGAGCACACCCCATGGAGAGGAAGATCCACATGGTACAGCACCCACATGGAATGACCGTCACTGTCACCACCCGGGAGGGAGAGGTGATATCCCCCACCTCCTCCCACCCTTCCCTCCTACTTGGAGAGCAATTTGAATGGATTCTCCAGGGTGTCCCTTGGGCTGTCCCTGCAGGCAGACCCACAGCACCAGGTGTTCTCCTACAGCTGGGCCTCGCTGGAGGGGCTGCTGGGGGAGGCTGCCAGTCTGCTGCTGCTGCGGGTGCTGGCGTGCCGCCGTGCCGTGCCCCCCAGCATCACCTTCCCTGCCATCGACAAGGAGGGCCACCTGTGCACCACCACCTATGTGAGACCCTGGGGGGCACGGGTGGCTGACACGAGGATGACAGGTGGGCACAGAGTGATTTTGTGTCCCTACAGCGCTCCCTGGGCATGCGGCAGCAGCCGTTGGGCTCAGCACAGGCGGAAGTGTTGGTGGTGGAGAGAGCCCTGCATGCTGCCCAGGGCATTCCGATGGTGTGGCACTACAGCCTCCTCCCCAGCGGGTATGGTGCCGGCCTGGGGTGAGGCAGATTTGGGTGTTGGCATCAGGATGGAGGAGCTCAGCGTTGATGCCCTTCTGCAGGCATTTGGCTCGGCAGGTGCAGGTGGGGTGCCCGGTGGTTGCTGTGCTGCAGGATGCACCTGCTCTCAGCGGCATGGGTGCAGAGTCCCAGCCTCTCTTCCCAAAGCAGCTGCTGGACTGGGAGGAGGATGCCCAGCTGTGCTCCTGGTTCTTGGACAGGAAGGTGAGGGGGGGGCTTGGGGATGAGAGACATGAGATTATGCTGCTCTTCAGCAGGATTCCCCCTGGGAAGAGGCATAGCACCTCCAAACCCTCTGCAAAGGCAGGGAAGGACCCAGGCTCCCCACCAGCTTGGCATGGGGACAACCCTGTCCTCAACCCTACAGGAGGAGCTGCGAGCGTCCCACAGCACCTACATTCAGCAGCATCCTGAGCTCTTTGCACTGCTGGCTGACTTCCTGCAGGCCTTGCTGCTCCGCCAACCCCCCGACCCCATCCTCTTTGCTGCAGAATTCTTTGCTCCCTTTGCCCGCCACCAGCCCCCTGGGCCCCGCTTTGCCTCCTCCGTATCCCCCAGCCCTTTCTGCAGCGTCTCCTGTCCCAGTCCCCTGGCTCAGGGGGATTAAAGGTATCAGCAGTGCTCCTGAAGTTCTCTCGTGTGATTTGGGGAAACTGAGGCATGGGGAGGGCTGGGAGGCTGAGCTGTCTGTGAGCCCCTCATGACTGTTTAGGGCTTATTTCCCACCTTCCCCCCCCCCCCCCCCCAAAAAAAAAAAAAAAAGAAAAGCTTTCCCTTGGGATATGGAGTGCCTAGGGCTCACCATGTGGCAGAGCCCTGTGCCCTGCCACCACTCCATGTGTCCCCTAGGGGTGTCCCTCCGCAGCCCCGGGAACTTTGTGAGGTGCAGCCTGATTCACACCAACACTGAGCTCCCCAGACTTCTGGGTGAGAGTGTCTTCCACCCCAGCACCCAGCACTCTCTGGACCACCTTCTCCAAGCCCGGGGTGCATTTTGCTCTGCTCACGTGTCTGTGAAATGCATGCTGCTTCCTTCTCACTCCCACTCCTTTGGCCTTTCTCCCACTTCAACGGGGTCAGCAACTCCTCCATTGTGGGAAACTGCCCGTGTTCCCCGCTCTAAGCAGCAGGACCCTGACACGTGCTGTGGGGGTGACACATGGGCACAATGCCCACCCTTGGATATGTGTTTCCAGATGAAAGGGAGGTTGCTTTGCGCCATGCTCAGGTGGGGAACTGAGACCCAGCCCCCTGGGAGGCCTTTTCCCAGCCTAGGTTTGTGGCAAGCAGGGAAGGAGCACTTCCTCCTTCTCCTCCTCCTCCGCTTTCCCTGGAGGGGGGGCTGGGAGCTATAAGAGCTGTGCACTGGGTGCAGCACACAGAGGTAGGGGTTCCCCAGCACCATGTCTGGATCCAGCCCTGCTACAGTATCACTAGAGCCAGGTGAGTCCCATCTTGGCTGGGTACATCATACCCTCTGCACCCACTCATTGTGGCACTGGGGCTGGTGACGGGTGGCCTGGGGAGAGGGCTTTGACAGACACTTGTGCTGGAGGTGGCATCTGGCTGCTTCGGGCCACCACTGCTGGCCCCAGTGGCTGCAAGCCCCCTGGAGCTGTGGGGCCATTCCCTGGGAGGATGTCTCTGGGATGAAGCTGGGACCTGGCGTTGTTCTTATATGTAGTGAGCTGCTACATGCCCTCCTGCTTTTCCTCCCCTTGTCCTCTTCCTTCTCTCCCAGGCATCACTGGGTCCCTGAACCGAGGCCAAACGGACGCCAGCAACATCTCTGTCCCCCCGCATCACCCTGTTCCCCGTGCTCAGACCTACCTGGATGAGCTCATCAGCATCCCCAGAGGCAGCGCGGTAGGTGCAGCTGGGGATACTGAGTACTACAAGGGACACGTCTAGGATATGCCCTGGGAACCTTGATGTTCAAAGCCCCAGCTCCAGCAGAGTAATTGCAGCCCCATTCCCACTCTTGAAGCTTTCCCAAAGGGAAAACCAAGGCACAAGGCAGTGATGCTCTGCTCTGAGGGCCACCCCATCTCCTGTCCCAGGGGGTGGCCAAGTCCCATGGCCCTCCCCAGCAGCCTGGGGCCCCTCCAGCCCCAGCTGTTGCCTGAGAGAGGAAGGGAGAAGGGGAAGGAATGGAGTTGTGAAAGCAGCTCACTGGAGTGTGATTGCACAAGATGCTGTTAACGGCACAAGGAGGGCGGCAGCTCCATCTGTGCCGCAACAAATTTCAATCCAATCCCATGCCCAAACATCACTGGGGTCTCGCTGTCCACCCCAGAGGTGAAGGGCAAGGGAAGGGGGTTGGAGGAGAGAGAAATGCCTTCCATGCACAACATGTGCCCACGTGGCAGTGCAGGGCTCCACAGAAATAGGCGACCAGTAGCCCAACTGAGAGCCACCAGTTCTGAATGGGAACAACCAGACCCCACAGGATTTGCCCCATCCCATTGTGACCTGCCACCCCATTGCAGCCCGGCTTCAGCTTCAGGAAGCTGTGGGCTTTCACTGGCCCTGGTTTCCTGATGAGCATCGCCTACCTGGACCCAGGCAACGTGGAGTCAGACCTGCAGTGCGGGGCCGTGGCCGGCTTTAAGGTGAGCACCAGGCTGCTGGTGACCCCACTGGGTGCGGGGTGCTGCCCACCACCAACCCGTGCTGTCCTGCTCCTGCCCCCCAGCTGCTGTGGGTGCTGCTGTGGGCCACAGTGCTGGGACTGCTGTGCCAGAGGTTGGCCATCCGCCTGGGCGTGGTGACGGGGAAGGACCTGGCAGAGATCTGCTACCTCTATTACCCCACGGTGAGCACCCAGGGGGATCACAGTGTGGGTGAGGAGCCCTTTTTCTCCCACCGCTCCCCCAGCCCCAGTGACCCCCTCTGGCCCCACGCACCCCACTGCCTGGCACGGAGATAGCTATACTCACTCCAATCCCACGTGAGGACGCCTGAGTCCCAGCGTCAGAAGCGGCTGCAAGTTGCGTCCTGCCCGTCTGATCTGCACTCTCCCTCTCACTGCACTCTGCAACCCCCTCATGCACCCTCTACCCATCACCCCTATCCCAAGCATCCCAGGGCTGGGTCCCCGCAGGGCTCAAGCATGTCGCCGTGCATCCCCATCCCCTCCAGGTGCCCCGTGTGCTGCTGTGGCTCATGATGGAAATCGCCATCATCGGCTCAGACATGCAGGAGGTGATTGGGACGGCCATTGCCTTCAGCCTGCTCTCAGCCGGACGGTAACTACCTGCAGGGTGCTGCCAGGTCCCATCTGCACCCCAGTGAGGGACGCAGCCCACCCCAATGCTCCACCAACCTGGCTGACGTCCCTGCTCTCCTGTCCCATAGCATCCCGCTCTGGGGTGGTGTTCTCATTACCATCACAGACACCCTCTTCTTCCTCTTCCTTGACAAGTATGGTAAGTGCAGGGGCACTGGGATGGGGGCCACTCATCCAGACCCTGAGATGTCACTGCAGAGGTGCAGACACCAGTGTCATTCCTCATCTCTTCCTTCTGCAGGGCTCCGCAAGCTGGAGGCTTTCTTTGGCCTCCTCATCACCATCATGGCTCTGACCTTTGGCTACGAGGTAAAGGCCCCCCAGCCTGTAATGATTCAAATGAGCTGCTGGGGCGGGGGCAGCTCACAGAACCCCTTCCCAGTACGTGGTGGTGAGGCCAGCACAGACAGAGGTGCTGAAGGGAATTTTCCTGCCCTACTGCCCGGGCTGTGGGCGAGAGGAGCTGCTCCAGGCTGTGGGCATCGTTGGTGCCATCATCATGCCCCATAACATCTTCCTGCACTCCTCCTTGGTGAAGGTGAGAAGGGACCAGGGGACAAGTTCCCCATTGCAGAGACGTGGTAGAATGGGGTGAAAATACAGTCCCCCCCCCCCCATGGGGGGCTGTAATGGATCCCCATGGAGCACATTACCTGCCATGCCCAGACCCGGGCGATTGACCGCTCCAAGAAGGAGGAGGTAAAGGAGGCCAACATGTACTTCCTGTCTGAGTCCTGCCTCGCTCTCTTCGTCTCCTTCCTCATCAACCTCTTTGTCATGGCTGTCTTTGGAGAGGCTTTCTACCACCAGCGCAATGAGGATGTGGTGAGTCCCTCCAGGGAGGTGGCAGCTGCACCGGGGGTGGAGAGGGGCAGGTGAACTCCTTGGCCATGGATGGATGGATGGATGGGTGGAGGGCTGGATTGGGTGGAGAGTTGAATTCATAGCCATACCACGCTCATGCTCACCATGTTTTGCAGCATAACAAGTGTGTCAACAGCAGTGTCAGTCACTATGCCAGCATCTTCCCCATCAACAATGAGACGGTCTCTGTGGATATCTATCAGGGAGTGAGTGGCACTGGGCTGCATTCCATGGCCAGCTAGCCTTGGTGGCTGTTTTGGGGGCACCATGCTGCCTCCGGTCTCCCAAATCCAACCCCTCACTATGCCAAGGGGGAATACTTTGGGATCCCCATCAGAGTGTTGCCACGCAGGGTGTCATCCTGGGCTGCTATTTTGGGGCTGCAGCGCTCTACATCTGGGCCGTGGGGATCCTGGCAGCAGGGCAGAGCTCCACCATGACAGGCACATACGCAGGACAGTTTGTCATGGAGGTGAGAGGGGAACACAGGGAGAGATAACTCAAGGGTGGGCTCTGGGCAGGGGTCCAACGGGCAGCCCGACCCCAACAGGGGCATTTGTCAGGGAGATTTATTCTGGGCAGACTTGGACTCCCTGAGAGCCGGGATGGGGTCAGCGCCCACCCATTGCTGCCACTCGGCAATCACCTCCCCGTGAGCCCCTCATGTGAGGTCCTCCTTCCCTAACGAGCTGTTCGCTTAACGAGCAGGGGCTGACATCTAGCGGGGCCCTGCAGCCCTGCAGGAACTGAGCACTACGGAGGACCTCACATGAGGGGCTCACGGGGAGGTGATTACCGAGTGGCAGCAATGGGTGGAGGGGGCTGGGGGCCGACGAGCCCAGCCCCACA